AAGTATTTAATTTAAAAACGTTTCAAGTGAACCTCATTAAGTATGATTAGTTCAAATTGTTTATAAGAAAATTTAAACGTTTCTACATATTAATTGATAAATTCTAAAGAAGATTTGAAACTAAAATACACACACACACATACACACATACACACACACATATATATATATATATATATTACTTCAACAACTTATGTTAATTAAAAATTTATTTATATCTTAATTTTTAAAATAATTAAAGTATTAATCAAAAACATAGAAATATATGTTTTTAAAATGGATATTAATTTAAATAATAAAAATGTTATTTAAAGCTAATTAAATGTAAATACTTAAGTTTTGTTTGATATTTTAAAGATAATATTTATAAAGATTGATTCATCAACCATGCTCACCCCCATTTTTCTTTAAATATCTTCAATATACTTATTTAAAAACTAATAATTAGAATTTTTAAATATACTTAAAGACCATTTTTTCAAATACTTGAGTTATTTTGTATTACTTAATGAGTGTTCTAGAGAGATAAAAATGTATGTTTTTCAAATAACAATCTACCTTTTCCAGGTACTATAAGTTATGCAATTTATTTAAAAATATCGATGTACAAAAACAAAATTAAACGAGTATTTTTTGAGTTATATAACTTAATGTACTTAGAATACTAGATCGAATAAAATAACTTTGAACAATATATTGGAAGCTGTAGAAATTTATATTAATTTAACGTTTTTTTAAATGTGTAAAAATGGTCCAAGTATATAAATTCTAGATCCAAAATCACATCTATTTTAAATAATATTTTCAAAATAATTTTAAATTATCATTAATAGTAGTATACGCAATTAAATAACTGAAAACAACTATACTTTCAAATTTTAAATTAGTAGAGGGTAATTTTTTCAAAAAAAAATGTGTATTTAATAATTTACATTTTACACATAATAGCTTTCTTTGAAAAATAAATGTTTGCATTGTTATATACTTCTTAAATAATAAAAAATAACTCAAGAATTTTAAAATATAGTTTCTATAGGTATATTAAAAAAATCCGATAAACAGATTTTAAACAAATGCTTTGAAAACATTTGAAGGAAAAAAGAGGTGACCATGAATTATGATTTTCTGGACCAATCTATATAATTTATATATAGTAAAAAATAAAATAAGAACATTAAAATGGTTAAACATAATTTTATTATATGTTAAAACATAAGTCAGACTTTTAAAACTTTAAAATACCAAAAAAAACTTAAGTCTATACATTTTACAAACGTTAAACTGCATTTCATATTAAACTAAAGCTTCCAAATATCGGATACTCGCGAGATCGCAGAAATTTTGTCCACTATTTGAAGGTGTCAGCCAGTTATTTAGCGGAGATAAGTAAATAAAAATGAACAATGTAAAAATACGTAAAAAAAAAAATGCTAAAAATATATATATTTACATTATTTGTAAATATGAATATACTTATATATGATATTTATTTGAACCAAAGTAAATTATCGTATGAGATAGTCTTTTTTACGATGAATAAGATAATCTTTAATAGTATAACAATGTATAAAGAAGGAAAAATGTATAATATAATAATAAACACTATACATAAAGAATAATTAAAGTAAAAATTATCAAAATACGTATAGTCATAAAAGTGTCCACTATTTTGTTTTTCTATACCCTGTCCCGCGAGAAATCATGCCGCACGAAAACGTAAACTAGTCGGCTTTGAGCATACCCCGCTAAATACTTGTGAAATTTGGATGCATGTAGAGATACTACGGCTCAGATGATCGAACGATTTTATTCTACATGCGCAAATTTGGAATGATCTCTCGTGGGACAGACTATACTCGTATAGATAAACAATGAAAATATTCCAGTTTCTGAAAAAATGTCTACTATTTAGAGGTATCCGTTCAGAAAGGTTCATTATATTCATAATAATTATTAGTTTTAAAAATAAATTGTTATTTTTTTTAATGAATATTTAAATGAATTTAAAATTAAGATATAAATACATTTTTATTAAAACATGTTGTCAATATAATATGAACACATAAATATTTTTTTTGTTTTGAATCTTTTTTAAAATTTAGCAATTATTATAATGTAGGAACTTTTAAAGTCACTTATAAATAATGTGTTTTAATAATTTATGTCCATCGCATACATTTTAACAAAATAAAAAATGAAATGTTCAATGCTTATAATTATTTTAAAACAAACATTAGTGAATAATTTAGTATGACCTTGTAACAATATAGTTACTATTTATTTTATTTTTTAATTGTTAAAACGTTTGTCTTTAAGTACTCATTTATATTCAGTTCACATAAGGCCTCTACACATAATAATAATATGGTAGTATTATATTATTTCTATTATACAAAAATATAATTTTAACAACAAATTAAAATTTAAAAAATGTTATCATAGAAATCATATAACTTTTTGTATTAAATACACGTTATAAAAACTTTCATTTTCTGTTTCTGGCTATGTTCAATATTATTGTAAGATGATAAACAATTATCTAGTTAATTAGGTATGATTTTATAATATTGATAAATTAATTTCAGATCTGGCATTGTAATAATATGTTTTTATTACATAATTAAACGTATTATACACAGTTTATTAAATTGCACTTTTTATCATACGAACATAAATTCACCACATTTAAGCAATATATTCATAAGTGTAAGAGTGGTGAGATTTTTTTTTTTTTTTGGAAGGGGGGCTGTAGCCTTGGATGTAAACGTGAACCGACTTGTGGAGGGTTTCATCTGCATTTGGGGGGGGGTTAATCCTCCTAAGCCCCCCTTAATTATACCTATGAATATATTTAATGTAATAATATAATAATATAATAATATAACATTAGGTTTATCAAGAAAGATTTTGAAACTACATCTACTCATAAAAAACATTGGATGTTTACTGATCAGACATAATATTATATGTATATTGAAAATAAAAATATCAAGAATATTAATTGAGGTGGTCGAAATTTTCAATCACAACATAATAATATGTAATTTTAGTGCTTGGGTTTGTGGAAGATAAGCCACGTGTTACAGACAATATTGAAACCGGGTTCATTAAATTTGTAAATCATGCCACCATTCTTCCAATTTATACATCCATAATACTCATATTATAATACTTGTCTATGATCCCATCACTAATAGTGCACTCAGAAAGCCTGCAGTGATATTATATAGTCCAATGGTCGTATTTATATCCACGTCTATATTATTATACTCATCACGCAGACAGATACAACGTAGGATACGAACACAGTTATTCCACGAACCACATTGAATATTGAACGCGCGTTAGAATCGGAGAATAATATAATATAATATCATTATAATACTGAATCACTATGTTATTATTTCGTAATGCCATTTGCATTTGTCCGTCATCATCATCAGAGTATTATAGGTGCTGTTGTATAGTTAATCTTAATCAAAGTCATTTGCCTTAAACCCATGCGATCGAATGTTATTGTTTTACAGCTGGGGTACAATTACGGTTCAAGCCAACGGCCTATGTTATATAAATAATTAAATATTCATTCTAAGTTTGATTTTATGTTATGAGCCGAAAAATAAGCTGGTTATCACATATTTATATGTGTATGTTTTTTTAAAAATTATATTCTATTTTCCACCGCCTTTTGAAGCAATAAAAACATTTCGATCTTCAAAATTGAAGACAATTGGTAGCAAATAATATTTAGTTGGTACTTAAACATTTTCATGGTATTCAAAAAATATTATTTTTGAGGACTTCAAACTCATATTTATGTATAATTCTAATTTAATATACACGATAAAATGTTCAAATTAATAAGAATAATTATTAGATATTGCATACTTATAAATTGAATCTGTTTATTCCAATTCACGGTATGTAGTTTGATATTTTTCAAAATGTATGTAGTATCAATTATTTATGTTATAAACAAACTAAAATTATAATTATTTTATCAAATAATTGGTGTAAGTGTTTAGTTTTTTTACGATAACTTAGGTACATAATTATATGTCTACGTTATAATATAATTTTTCCTCTTGTTATACTATTAATAAAACTTCCTGCAAAATTTAAAGCTACCTAAAATCAATGAACTAGAAAAATTCAATTTAAAACTATGGTGATAACATAAATTTCTAATCAATATAATTTATGCTTAACGTATAATTTTTTATTAATTAACAATAAAAGAAATATTGTGTTAATAATTTTATAACTATGACTAGGACGTTCTTGATTTCTTTAACTTGAAGGAAATTTTAACAATTTAGTTCAATGAAATATTTAAATCGGGAAGTCAATTAAAAATTTTGAATAATGCCAAACAGTTTACAGAAAGATAGGTTAACCAATTGCAAGTATACAGTTATAACTATAAATATCTACGGATGTACACAATGGGAAGAACTACACAATAATAGTGTTATATTTTAAACTTGATATAAAGTATTTAAACTTATATTTATAAATCTAAACCTTTAATATATTTAAAATAATTCAAAATAATCTTGAGTGAAATTAAATTATCACCATGTATATTTATTAATTATAAAAAAAAATTCACGTGGAGTACACTAGTTTTGATTTTTGAATTCGGTAATAAAGTCATGGTTTAAACTTTTTTTTCTTTCAAAATAGTGAATGAAATTAACGTTTATTTTTTTTTTCTTATCAGTGAAAAAATAGTCTTAAACTTTTAAATTTTCTTTTTAAAAGAACCAAGTTAGAATCATAACTCACAACTCATAATAATACCTAGTGTGTTGGTCACACTTAATTACTTAGTTTACGCACTGTCTCGTTCAAAATTAAATCGCATAATTATATACCATTGGTCAGTAAAAATTTTATTTTATTAACCGGTAACTACTCAAAATTAAAATATTATAGTACGTAAAAAATTATTTTTCTGTTAGTGAAACAATGGAAAAAATATATAATGGTGCACTTACCCAGATCACGACACTTAAACAAAATATTGTGTACTTCAATAAGTTGATGTGTTTCTCTAATTTAGCTGCGGCTTTGGCTAAAGCGTTCTGGGCACTCACCACAGCCATCGTTTCGTCTTCACTGGTGTGCACGCCGTCGATTTTAGAAAAATGTATTTTCGTTTTTTTTTTATTTCTTCGTCAACTACAACCGTCGTCGGTACGCGAAAAAAATAAACTACTCTGCGTAGAAATCCACCATAGTATACCAACAAGTGGCTAGATAAGAGTAAACCATGGGAATGTTATTTACACTACGTAGCCGCGCCTAACTCTACATTCAGATAACGAAAACAGTTATCTTTTCACGACAAAATACCATATTGTTATATTCACCTACAAGTAATTATAATAAAAATATATTGTGACTAATTTTTCATTATTTAGTGTCATCTATGTGCTTTGCAACACGTAATAGTATCAACTTCGATTATGACTATATTATAACGAAATTATTTGCTTTGTTTAAAGGGAATATAATGTACTATAATAACTATCATTCATAAATTATATTAGATATTCGAATTATAAGAAAAATATAGTATTTAACTGGCTGTGTCACAAATTAGTGACTTGAACACAAACTATACAAGCTGATTATTTTATTGAACAATACTCATTATTTAATCATTTCAAAACCTTTAATATTTTTCATTAATTTTTTTTAAGTTTTTACTTTTTAAACAATAACATACATTTATAAATTTATATTCTAAAGTAAAGTATTTTTCAGAGTATTTCAATATATAATTGCTCATTGAAATAAATTATGAGTTATTAATATTTAAACTTAAAATAAATAATAATATAAATATTCAATAGACTTGACTTAGTAATCAAGGTTTGATATAATCTCCGTTTTTTAAACTTTTTTCGTATGCATTGATTTAGAATTTAACACGTCATCCTTTATAATTACTTACTCAATGATGTGATAGCTATACTTGAAACGTATTACTTTGGAAAGTGACTTATGTTGTTTATTTTTTTAAATGAATAATATATGTTTATATGTATTTAACAATACATATACATATCTGAAATTCATTGCTAAAAATATAAACAATGAACATCATAAAGTTTTTTCACTTTGATATAGGTAATAATATAACAGATAGCTTAACTTTTAAATACATGTAAAAGGGAACTCTCCAAATGTTTAAGAAAATTAATGTATTATCTATAAGTATAATTTTATTTTTATGATAAAATGTACATAATTTAATATGGCAAAGTAAAACATCATTTTATTCTTAATTGTATTAGGTTTTTGAGACAGTGGTGAATTCTTAACGTAATTTCAAATGCGCTCAATCGTTTGACCAAAAAGATGAAATGTGCTCAATCTTATGATAGCTGTTTTATTATTATACATATATTATTTTTAACACTATACGTTTCTAGGATCTCAGGATAGAGTAATAACAAAAGTAGTCATATGAAAACAAATGTTGTGGTAGTAAAAAATACCTTGTTATTTTCATCACTTACAACTACTATACTCCAATCAAATGGCACTTCCATTTTCTGCATATTTAATTATTTGCATTAAACTATCTAACGGATTTAGTATATTAAATTATTTATAAAGAAATTGACATAGTTATATACTAAATTCATCGAGTTACTCTATATTTTACTGTCAAGTCAAAAGTAATTATTATACTTATAGTTAATAAAAAATTCTAATTTGTTATTATATGATGAAAAATAAGCAAATTTTACCCGTTGATACTACTAATACTAGGTATTTTTTTTTTATTAAATAATTTATTTTTTGATAAATATCTGTTTCAATAATCTATCGTTTTGTAATTAAAAACGATTTGACATTTTATTAAAGTTCTGTATAGTGAACGGGAACTATAATAATAAAATTAACTTAGCCTACTTCACCTAATTCGTCATCTATTATGTAACTTATTCAATGATAACATTAGTAAATTATGTATAATGTTAAGTGTACTGTGTATATTCTGTACATATAGTGATGTCATTCACATACTATATAATCATATAATCTTGTTAATAATGATACTAATATACTAAAATGAAATACTATCAATTTAAGCCATCATCTTGATATTTATGTTTTAGTAATTACTAAAATTACAATTTTTTTCTTATCAATTTTTCAATTTTATGTTCACAACAAATAACATGACAAAACTATTTAAGTAAAAAAAAAAAAAAAAAAAAATCATGCATTGTTAGATAACTTTATTTTCATAAATCATTATTCCGATTTTCAATGATATTTTGGAGTATCAGTTCTCATTATTGTGCATATTAAAAGTTTTTCAAACAGTTTGGACTTAATAAGTAATTAACTTTAAAGTATTTTTAGTCAGATAGGTACTCCTAATATTTAGTTTTCAAGTGGAAATGTTCAAGTTAAATAAATGTATTATCAACGATAATCCATCGATACAATATTAAGAAATTCTGGATTTAAAAAATGCGGAAATATGATCAATCATTTTATTGAATAGGTTATAATATATTCTAATAATTGAAAATCTCTATAAATAATTAGTTGACAACAAGTATTATTATAGATTGGAAATAAGTGGAGCAAGCATCCAGTTCATTTAATACGTCACCACAATCGTTCTACGGACTGATTAAATGCCAACTCGATAGTTGAGGAATAGTTTTCTGGACATTATATTGTTCTTCCAACATACGACATTATATAATAGGGCGTATTATCTGAAACGGTGAAATACCGAACTTGTACAATGCAAGTCGGAGGGCAGAGCAATAAATAAAAACACTGTACGTTAGAAAAAGCCAGTAAAAATTTATGAGCGCTCATTTTCAGTCGTGTAACGTTAACTCGATAGACCCCAATGGTCCAGACGCCGCCGCTATTGCCGCCACCGCCACCACCATCGACCTGAAACCCACGAGAAACATGATTTATTTATTTATTTATTACTGGAAATACGTCATAAAATGTTGCGATGGCGTTGGTTAAATACGCGCATGACGTTACAGTGAAACGATAATATTATTATAATGTGTACCAGTTATTATTGTCTAATGTGTTCACAAATAGAATCTACGTGCCATTATAATAGATCTACGATGATTTCATTCAATTGTGCATTCAATTCGACATGCAATTTCCAAACCGTTGATAATATGACCATGTGAATAAATTCCAGACACCTACCCACGTCTCACGCATATTATAATAACGTATTTAGTTAGGGCATTGAATTGAATACATTAAAAACTTTAACAAGGTACAATATAAAATTAACTAAAAAATCATTATAAATGTATTAAAACCTCAAGAAATCACAGATATACTATAATAATAGTATACTATAGGATAATAATTTAAAAAAAAATAAAAATCTACAAATTTAAAAAAAATTGAAAACTAAGATACAATTAATTAAATGCAATGACGTCCGCATAAAACATATCAAATATTTATAAATTGAAAATTAAACAATATAATACATGTAATGTGTGTAAAAAGTTTTATTTGTAAAAAATTATTAAAAATATCGAAAAATAAAAAAAAAATACATCAATAGTTTAATATTTGATTCAAACTTCTTGCTAAGGAAACACATTTTTCTATAAATCCACAGCCCTAATAATAATCATCGGTCATTTGTATTAATATTTAATATCGCAGACTTCAAACATTTTTTCCAAAGCCATGCCGTGAAGAATGATTATATTTTAATAAAATAATTTATCTTACTTCAAAGGAAAAATATTTGAACACTTTCAAAATAATATTGTAAACCGGTAGAACGATACGTTCATTTTGTGTTTGAAAATTAAGTAGTACGTATTTATTGTTTCATTCTTATTATTCCATAAGGTTATCTGTTTACAGAGGCATATATTATATTGTTTTATGACAAGTATATTGCCACTAGTTACTTGCATAGGTGAAGAACTGTATATAATATATAAAAATATATATATTTATCATATTGGTTACAACCTTATAGTATAATATAATCATAATGAGTGATAAATATTATATTGTCGTTGAATAGTTCAACATTGAAATTATATTATATTTATACCGACAAAAGTGGCTGTATACAATATAAAATATAGATTATTTAGTTTATTTTTTAATATGTTGATCTATAAATTAGTTATTTTAACTTAATTTAATATTTATAAAGAGCATTTTTACTATTTTATGAATATATTATCTTCAATACAATTTTGCAAAAATGCAATTTTCGAAAATGTCAAAAAGAGACAATTATTTCAAATTTAAACCAAACTATCCAAAATTCTAGTATATTACTCTCAAAATAATAGTTCTCCCTTTATTTTTTATGACTATACATAATATTCTGATTTATAATGTCATATAAACGATATATTTTACTTGGTACTTTTTTATAAATAAAATTTAAATAACAAATTTATACAAAATAAAAATCATTTGGTTGGACTCAAAATTCAAAGTTTAAATTTTAGACGTCTCCGGAACTAAACTTGCAAACTTACCAATCATTTTTAAAAAAGATTAAGCATAAACAAAAGACACAGGTATATAATCAAAATTTTAAATATATAATTTTCTCGTTTGCTGCGAATCACAAAACTTATAAATGATATCATTTAATTCCGAAATATTTAAAATATTATTTAATGATATACATTCTTTTACAACTACATGCAGTCTGGAGGTTAGGTTAGGTTCACAATTCAACCAAATTTGAATAATTTTAAAATTTGATCAGCCGTTTTGTATACTTATGACTAGAGAAAGGACTTTTACGCATTAAAATTTTTTTTTTCTAGTTTTATTATCATAATATGCTTAATAGTACACAATATTTCTCAAAACGTTCATGATGAAATAATCATAATTCTAATTACTTACTTTTGATATTTGACATTTTCGTGTTTATAAAACATATTTTTGATTATAAGATCGTATTTTAAGATTTAAGTACATATTTTGATAGTTAATTGAAAATTAAATACTATTCATGAATCAAGATTAGCAATTATATTAAACTGTGAATTTATAATAAAATACGATACATAGACTAATTATTATCTTAATGGTTAGT